TTATGAACATTGGAGCAGAAGTTGAAAGACTGGGCTCTGGTAGCAGTTCTGTCACTCCTCACTCAGCCTTTGACTTTACCAAGAAATTCAACCTCTATGACCTTTGGTTTTATCATCTATAAACTAGGGATAATAATATTTGTCCTTACCCTTACAGAGGGGTCGTGGGGATGAGGAGACAAGGAGACATTGGTGCAGTATAGCACCAATGAGACATACAACTTTCCTCTAGTTCTCTAATGCTCCCTCCATCCCCCATTATCATGATCCCAATTCTACCTTACAAATCTGGCTAGACCAGAGGATGCACACTGGTACAGATAAGAGCTGGAAACACAGGGAATCCAGGGCAGATAAATCCCTCAGGACCAGTAATGAGAGTAGCGATACCAGGAGGGGAAGGGGAAGGTGGGGTAGAAAGGGGGAACCGATCACAGTGATCTATACATAACCCCCTCCTGGGGGACGAACAACAGAAAAGTGGGTGAAGGGAGACATCAGTCAGTGTAAGACATGAAAAAATAATAATTTATAAATTATCAAGGGTTCGTAAGGGAGGGGGGAGGGAGGGAGAACTAATGAGGAGCTGACACCAAGGGCACAAGTAGAAAGAAACTGTTTTGAGAAGATGATGGCAACAAACGTACAAATGTGCTTGACACAATGGATGTGTGTATGGATTGTGATAAGAGTTGTATGAGCCCCCAATAAAATGATTAAAAAATATATCTTTGTCCTGTCTCTTTTTTTGTCATGTCTTTACAGACTTTAATGGAGATTAAGGCTATTTTAAAAAAATACCTTTCATGAAATATAAGTGTAAGCATGCAGCTGTAAAGTGTTGATATTTTTTAGTCACCTTTGAATGTCAAATTTGCATAACACAATACCTCTCAGATGGAATCACCCAGCTGTTGTTTCTGTCTTCTTAGACCCTTTGGTAGCAAAAGCTGGAGGTAAAGCAGATGCTAAATAGAAACATCTTACCCCAAAGTAGTGATGCTTATATAACATATTAAGAAAGAATGGTCAAATGTTCGAGTTATACACACATTTTTATGATTGTATAAAGGAAAAAGACAAATGAGGGAATTTCATGATGAGATTAGAGCTTTACTTGGATTCTCATGAAGTTTATTACCCCTATTCTGGTTGATGTAGAAAAGCCTTTGTGAAGGAGATATAATTCAGTAAACTTCTCAAGTTGGTTTAACTTTGGATGGTGCACGGAAAGAGAGAGGAAGAGGTCTGGAGCCCGGGGGAAGAGCGGCCAGCTCAGGTCTGTGCCAGTGGTGGTGTGGGAGGACAGACGTTGGTCTTCCGTGGCTGTGTGATGCTGGTCCGCTGGGTTCTCCGTGAGCAGAGACTTTCTTATCTGCTGGCGGAACTCATGATACTGAGTCTATAAAGTATGCGGAGGGGGTTAGGAGATTTTGTGAAATTGATTTATTATTTATGGTCCTGTATAAACGGTTTTTATTGTCACCGTTATCAGCACAGTAATGAACAGATGTAACCTATGTTGCTGGGACAGAAAATAGTTGAATGTAGTTTTTAATTGGCTTTTAGTCCAAGGAGGGGCTATTTTACATAGTTAATGAAAGCATTCACTGTTAGATCTAGAAAGAATTTGAAGGACAATTAAAGTACAGATTTTGTGGGTTGTTGAAAATTAATGAACTTTTATTGTGTAGGCCTTTCCCATCTTGATTCAGAATTTATTCCTGCGTTAGGACTATCAGAGGAAATATTAATTTTTATTTTCTAAATTAGTTCTAGAATGGGTGAGGGTTTGTGGAAAGAGAGTGGGAGAAGGAGGGGGGAAGA